GGCCCGTGAATCTTTCTCATTCTGCATCATTCAAGCCTTGACTCTTCTGCCTCTCTCTTCTGCATTTAAGAACCCTATGATTCCATTGTGCACATGTAATTAATCCAGGACAATCTCTATATTTTAAGATGTGCTGATTAGAAATCTCAGTGCCCTCTGAAACCTTTATTTCCCCTCTCCATTAATATATCATAGGTTCCTGGGCTTAGATGTTGACATCCACTGTTCTGCCTGCCTCGGGGCGTGCGGGGGTGGGGGGAGGGAGGATAACTATTAGACATCCCTAGTCAAATAGTCCAGCAGTGAGGGGAGAATTCTAGTCCTTGCTCTGCAAGTCAGTATCTAGTGAGCAAAGCACATTGTCTCCGTGTGTGTATGCAGCCTTCTCATTCCCACAGTGAGCATGACATTATAGATCACATGTGGTCCAAATAGTCGGAGCTGTACTGTGATTCGTTCCTAACAATGCTTTTTATCATTTATTGTTCTAGGAAGAAAAAATGAAAATGCCTGCAAAGGAGCTCCTAAAACCTGTTCTTTACTAGACAAATTCCCCGAGACAACAGGATGCCGGAGAGGACAGGTACGAAGAGTGTTTTCAGTGCTGGGAAGAACACAATTGCTTATTGGCAATAAGGGAATGTGGATGATTACAAACAAGTGTTTATGTCCTTTGGCCCAACGAATGCCTCTTTTAATGAAACAATTTCATGTGGTTGATGTCAGAATTGAGGGTGAAAATGTTCAAGGTATATATAGCTTTGTGCAAAAAGGGAGTACTTATTTTTAATTCCTTCACAAAGAAATGAGAGGAGAATATTAATTCTGAGTCTTACAAAGGCTCTAATCCAAATTGACAGTAATTTTGTACTGTCACTTTAATTTAGCAATTCCCCCACAGCTTGATAAATGGAAGAACGGTGTGTTATATTTTCTGCACAGATCAAATATTCCATCATGCACCCAGGAACTCACGTGTGGCCGCACACGGGGCCCACGAACTGCAGGCTCCGAATGCACCTGGGCTTGGTGATTCCCAAGGAAGGCTGCAAGATCCGGTGTGCCAACGAGACCAAGTATGTTTGCTCCCACCATTTTCTCTCTTATTTGTCACCTCTGAGGATGGATATTTGTGATGACAAAGCCATGTTTAGCTGGACACTTTCTCTTCCTTGTGATCATGTACACTGGGGGGGTGATGTTAATCCAGACCCTTTCATCTCTGTCCCTTCTTTGGTCTGGAGACACTGCCTCCCAGTTCCAGGGCTGCCTTCTGCAGTGATGTCTCCCCAGAGCCCGTGCATCTGGTCGATGAGCCTTCTTGCTTCTCTTTCTAGATCAAACATGTCAAACTCAAAGGCTCACATGGGCCGTATAAATGAAGCATTGGCCTGCGGACCGCGAGTTTGACATACTTGCTCTAGATCAGTGGTTCTCAACCTTCTGGCCCTTTAAATACAGTTCCTCATGTTGTGACCCAACCATAAAATTATTTTCGTTGCTACTTCATAACTGTAATGTTGCTACTGTTATGAATCGTAATGTAAATATCTGATCTGCAGGATGGTCTTAGGCGACCCCTGTGAAAGGGTCGTTCGACCGCCAAAGGGGTTGCGACCCACAGCTTGAGAACCACTGTTCTAGATGGACAGACTTGCACTCAGAGTCAGCTGGCTTGTACTGAGCCCGCACATATTACACACTGCGTGTATTGCTTTACCACTGAATTATTCAACGGTACAGCGACCCCCTTCCTGAAGAAACCGTCCCCCCTAACCTCCTCTGCCCCTTCCCCCTCCCCAGTGATATTGATGTATTGCTCTGGAGGAGTCAGCATGGTGTCACGGAAGCTGGCTGCCTTGTTCAGAACCCAGCCCTGCCACCTAATTCTATGTAACCTTGGCCTATGAATCCCCTCGAGCCTCGGTTTTCTTGCTTATAAAATTGGCATTGATACCAGCTGCTTTGCAGGACTGTTGTATGGAGCAAGTGAAATAATGCCCACAAGGCACTTAGCCCAAACCCTAGCGTAAGCAGGGAGGTGAACGTAGGGCCACTTCTCCCCATGCCTTCCCGCAACGTAGACACCGGTCCTCCGGCATCGGAATCACAAGCCTCCGCGCTTCTCTGTTCCAGGACCTGGGAAGAAGGCAAGGTGCTCATCTTTGATGACTCCTTTGAGCACGAGGTGTGGCAGGACGCCACGTCTTTCCGGCTGATATTCATCGTAGACGTGTGGCACCCAGAGCTGACACCCCAGCAGAGACGCAGCCTGCCTGCGATTTAGCATGTCGTGCGGGTTTGGGACACACTGGAGAGGGGCTGCCTTTCAGGTTCTGTCGGCTCGGGTGTGGGGAAAGAAGTTCGAGCACCAACGCCCTTAATTTCCTTGATTTGCAGCCTAAAGATGTCTAAACCTCCTCCTAGGGTTAGAAGACGTGAAAGGGAATACTTGCCCCACTGCAATTCACTTAGAAAAGACCCTGCTGTATACCATTCCAGGACAGCGCTGGTCTGATGCCCATATTTCAGGTAAATACATGATAGCTTCTACCTTGCCAGCCAAAGATATTTTCTCCGTTTAGAATAGGCTGAATCAGTGTGTAGTGAGAATACATGTAGAGACTGTGAATGGATTGCGTTAGCTTGTAATGTTCCTATGCAATTATATTTTTCTAGGGTAGGTAGACGATTTTTGTCATCACATACCACTACTTTTTTGTTGATTTTAATGACAAGCTGTGTAAATGCTTCACTTCTAGCGGTTTCATGATAACTTTCCTGGTGAACTCAGACTTCCCCTTTTAATTATTTTTCGGCAAAGACACTCATGAAGGAAGCAATTTCCTAATACGAAGGAAAACAATGTAATTATGCCAGCATATGTGAACTGTGCAGCTCCCTGCCCACTGGGTCTGCTTTTTTTATTCTTATCTTTGAGAGCTGGTGTCTTCATTTCTCTCTCCTCACCGTGAGAATGGTGGAGATACTGTCAAAATGGCATTTCTTTCTAAGAGGAAGCTTTTACACCAAAAAGGGACATGGGATCATTTTATATTGAGTTATAAAAATGCCTCATGTAAGTTTTTTTAATGCTTGAAGAAAAAAATAATGTAAAAATTGTCCAAGTGAAAATTCTCGGGATCAAGTAGATAGGTGGCTGCTAGGACCTCTGGCCCCGGGCCTGTTGCTGCCCATGACAGGGCCGGAACCCAGAGTGTCTTTGCCTATTGTAGATCCATGCGAGTGACAGAATCCTTGAGAGGATTCCCATCAGTGTTGTAAAACTAGGAATGAGAGCAGAGTGGAAGGCAGGAGTGCCAGGGTCTCGGTCCCGGGTGTAGGATGTCGAGATTGCTTTCCTCTTTGAAAGAGTTTGGAAGACTCTTCCAGCTGCCCGGCTTGAGCAACTCCTGCCCTTTAAACATCATTTTGAAATAGCAATTATTATCCATAGTTTTTTTACTATTGAACACTGCATAGAAACAACTATTGAAAAATGGCTTTGCCTACTCATTCCAAAGATGACCATGTCATTAATTGGGTAGGTTATGAATGCATTCATTTTTTTTTATTATTAAAGCTAACTAGAAATGTTAGCTGTAAGAATGTAATAATATTAATGCACTGAACTTTAAGCCAATATGAACAAAAAATGCTGGCAAAATTACAGAGAGGTTACCAGATATCATTCACAGGTAGGAAAACATGTGTGCCTTCTTTTCTATCTCAGGACAAAGGAGGATGCTTTTATATGCATTTAAAAGACAGTTCTTTAAAATGGAAATGAGTCCTTGTTTGTTCTTTAGCTTCCAGGAGAAGAGTTTGCAAAATATTTCTTGTGTTCCCTTCTGTTTTGCCAATGTCCAGAAAACTTGCTAAAATAGATGGCGTATTGGGGGGTGGGAGGATATCAAATTATCAAACTCCAGAAGAAGGAAAAGTAAACTCTTGAAAAAGAAAAAGGTATTTGTGTCCTTCAGTATTTATTGAACAGAGGAAATGACTGACAGAGGACAATACAATCCAGTGCTCATGTGGTAACATTCATGTCACTTACAGAATTTGGTTCTTGTGTGTATATTGCATACACAAAGAAATTCAAAGTGTAAGTTGTCATCATTGAACCATCATCTTACATTCATGTAATGAAGCCATGGAATAGAGTGAGAACTAGCTCTTAGCAATTATCACGTGGTATTTAAAATCAGGTCACTACAGGATTCTAAAGATTGCCAATTGAAAAGCCAGAATTGTTTTTACTGTTGCAGAGGGTTGGCAATAACTGACTCCAATAGCATTTTAAGTACTTGGATTCCACAACTGCCTTATAAACCCAGGTAATAAAATGGATTTTCTAATTCACTTTAATTCTTCATCTTTCTTCCCTATGTCATGGTGTATAAGAAAAGTATTTCAGTCACTGCATTGGTAGAATTATTTCCATATTATTTTGTTATTTGAAATGTCTACACAAAAAAATTGGTTTTAATACTGCAATGCAATTGAGAAATGTTATTAATTCTATTTCAATTTTATTTCAAGGGTGAATACAAAAATTACTTCTATTATCTACCAGTAGAAAAAAATTAGTAATAATAGCCATCGAGGGTGATTTATGGCCAGTTGAATCACCTCTTTCCTTTGAAATTTTTAGCTAACAACCCTCCCAAATTCTTAAAATGTGAAATCATATTTTACTGCCCATCAACTAAAATATTTTTATTTGGCATTGAGCACCCACTGGTTATACTCATGGATGGCCATGTCATCTGAAAACATACAGCTGGTTTTGGGGGAAAAATGGCACAGGTAAGGATATCATGTCCTATGATATCTTTAATTTTATCTAATTTCCTTTGAATGGATAGTTGGGGGCTCCATTTCCAAGGAGAATAGACAAAGAAATACAATGATCTTTGGCATTTCATCCTGCATTCCTAGTTTTCTCTTATTTTCAGTACTTGCCTGTTTAGCGGCACTTTTCTTTGCTGTAGTGACCCAAGTGAGGCAACGTGAATGGATTTATAAATCACTGACATGTTTCCAATGGGACCCCATCTGCAGACACACATTGCCTGTGGAAGTCACATTGCTAAGAGGAAATAATCATATTTCACATTGTGTGCCTTCTTTTAATGTCAGCTCATGATGATCAGCTGGTAGCCTGACAAAAGATGTGATGTCAAAATCGTTTTTGCAGGATATCAAAATAAGCAGCCTCTGAACATAGCCAGGCCTCAGAGAACTTGCTCTGAGGCTGAATAACTTGATGCTGGTGATGAGGTCAAAGAAAATAATTCAATAAGAATGGAAATTACTGGAGATACCATTGTCTCAGGGCTCTGCACTACATTAAACTTGACAATTGTGATGTATCTACTCGGAAATGCACTTAATCTTAAATTGCAAAAACGGGAGAAGGTCTCTGGGCGATGCCTCAGAAAAATCCTTGTTCTAATGCAGTGTGTGCATCAAATTTAGTAATGCATTTAATACCATAAACGTGGGGGAGGAAAATCTTGATTACGTAACTGCCTTGCTTTATCCTCTACCCAATGCCCTCATTGGAAAAAAAAAAAAGCATCTCTCAAGTCTTTGTTCAACTTTGGCTGCTTCGACCAATGGCTGGTGACAGTCATTACTGGGTGGGAAGAGTGGAGAGCCTTGTGTCAAGCCGTACCTGTCTGTGGGGTCAGTTGCGCATGTGCTTCCTAGGTGGCTGATACCACCGGCGGCTGGCGATATGCGGGAACATGGAGCGACTCGGGGTTCAGTCCAGAGCCAAGAGTGGCTGAGTGTTCTCATTCTCTCCCTTCTCCTCATGTTTCAGGGTCCCAGCTTCTACCACAGACTGAGATCTAATCATATGGGAAGGAAGGAAAAAGATACGGTTACAAACAAGTCATGATGACAACATTTTGGAACATCAGAGGGCATTCAGATTTTATATTCCCGTTATTAGTCAAGACATTCAAACTATTTAACCCCCGCTTTTGTAGCTCTGCTTTCCTTGCTTCGGGGTCTTCTACACCACATTTCTTATGGGGAGAGGCATCTTGGAATCTTCTTTGCAGGAAACTCATCTCTTTATATTTGCTTCTATGTATTAGAACTGCTTTTCCTCAGTCTTTGAGGGATGGCCTTATGTAGAAAGTGTCTTGAGGGGTCCAGTGGTGAGGTCTCTTTGTTCACCTGAGCAGGATGCTCTAGGAATGCCTCTTGTGTGCGTTGTTTGGCCTCTCCTGTTGTAATTGAGACTTCATTGGTTTTTATTAATATCTTTTTTAAAATTATCTTTTTAAGCATTTATTTATTGATTTTAGAGGGAAATAGAGTGAAAAACATTGAATTTTGTTGTTCCACTTATTTATGCATTCATTAGTTGATTCTTGTATGTGCCCTGACCGGGAATCGAGACTTCATTGTTGATGTCCTGTGTGTGAGAGGGATCTCCCCTCCAACTTGCTGCCAGTGAGATCAAACCCAATGTCATCGTGCCAGCTGTCCAGTGGTCGGCGACTCCTTAGCCCAGAGTGTGTCTGCCTTGAGTCTCACACCTTGATTTACCCTGTTTTGAGCTGTACTTCCTCCCCCGCCCGCCCCCCACCCCCCCAAGAGCTGGTCCTGCTGGCTTTTGGGTCACTAAGCAGTCCGGGATGGGGACCCAAACTGCTGTTTCTGACTGACTAGACCCGGCAAAGACTCCAGACTGACTGGATTCGCCTGGAGTAGCCTCAAGCAGTTGTCCGCACGTGGGGTGAGAGGTTTTCCAACAGGGTGGGACAGTTGCTTCTGCTTGGAGGCTAATTGTTATTCTCAGTTTCTTAATGGGCCTCAGAAACTCTAGAGCAGTGGTTCTCAACCTTGGCTGCACATTAGATCACCTGGGAATCTTTTTAACATCCTGATTTCTGGGTCTCATCTGGAAATTCTATTTCTTTGTTATCGGGTGAGGCCACAACATTAACAAAGAAACAATTTCCGGAGGATGAGGCCCAGAAATCAGGATTTTAAAAAGATTCCCAGGTGATTCTAATGTGCAGCCAAGGTTGAGAACCACTGCTCTACAGGGTGGGGGCAAAGGGTTTTCCAATAGAATGGGTGAACTGTCATCTCCCAAGGCAAAAACAGCAGGACAGCAAGTTTGCCTGAGAAAGATGACCTCTGCAGCATGAGGCAATGATTCAGCACAGGAAACGGGGGTGTCTGCCTAATGAGCTCTAATCCCAGACCCCCCAACCCTGACTTCCATTTATACATCTCCAGTTCACTCTGCCCTCCCTCTGCTGGAGCCCAAGGTGAGTGGCTGCACTCAAAATGTTGTGTGTTGGCCTTTTAAGAAGGTCTGCATTTCCAGCCATCTCTCCCTGGTAAACAGCAACCCTGCTGCTTTTCACAGCCAGGTATTATGTGGGTACCTTTCTCAGTTCCGGTGCTCTCTTCTGGTGGGCCCAGTTTGGGTCATACACCATGATCAAGTAGGATTTACTGTAGGGATACAAGGCTAGTACAATAGTCTCAAATCAATAAATGTGATATGACAAATTGAAAGATTAAAACCACATGATATCAATAGATGCAGAAAAAGCATTTGACAAAATTCAGCACCATTTTGATAAAAATTCTCAGTAAAGTGAGAATAGAAGGACCATACCTCAATGTAATAAAGGCCATATACAACAAACCTATAGCCAATATACAATGAGCAAAAACTGTTTCCCTTATGAACAGGAACAAGACAAGGATGTCCGCTTTCACCACTCTTTTTCAACATAGTCCTGGAAGTCCTAGCCCCAGCAATCAGACAAGAAGAGATAAAAGACATCCAAATTGGAAAGGAGGAGGTAAAACTGCCATTATTCGCAGATGACATGATATTGTACATAGAAAACCCTAAAGACTCTACCAGGAAACTATTAGACTTAATGAATTTGGCAAGGTAGCAGGATACAAAATCCAACATCCACAAATCTATGGCATTTTTATGCACCAATAATGAACTCTCAGAAAGAGAAACTAAAAAGCAATCCCATGTATCATTGCAACAGCAAAAAAGAGACTTAGGAATAAACTTTAACCAGGGAGGTAAAAGACCTGTACTTGGAAAGCTATAGGACAGAGTGATGGCGAACCTTTTGAGCTCGGCGTGTCAGCAGTTTGAAAAACCCTAACTTAGCTCTGGTGCCGTGTCACATATAGAAATTTTTTGATATTTGCAACCTAGTAAAACAAAGACATATTTTTGATATTTATTTTATATATTTAAATGCCATTTAACAAAGAAAAATCAACCAAAAAATGAGTTCGTGTGTCACCTCTGACATGCGTGTCATAGGTTCGCCATCACTGCTATAGGACATTGAAAAAAGAAAGAAGGATACAAACAAATGGAAACATAAGCCATGTTCATGTATTGGAAGAATTAACATTAAATGTCTATACTACCCAAAGCAATCTACAAATTCAATGCAATACCTATTAAAATGCCAATGGCATGTTTCAAAGAATTAGAATACTCCAAAAATTTATATGGAACCATAAAAGACCCCGAATAGCTGCAGTAATCTTGAAAAAGAAGAACAGAGTAGGAGGGATCACAATACCAGATATCAAGGTAGAGTACAAAGCCATTGTAATCAAAACAGCCTGGTACTGGCATAAGAACAGGCATATAGACCGATGAAATAGAACAGAGAACACAGCAGTCCAGTCCTTGTTTACCTCTTATCTAATCTCCATAGACACTGTGAAAAGCCTATTATACTACTCGAGATTCTAATTTTTAATTAAGCTTAATTTCTACTTAATAATTAAATAAATGTAAATACTTTTGTGGGCAATTTAAATGTAAATTTCTGATTTTCGTTGTACACTTAGGGGATGCCAGTTCAGGTAGTGATTTAAGTTGTGAAACCAGAGGCAGCAAAATCTCAGACACCTCTCATAGCAATGTGTTTAGAGATACATCTCCCCCTTGGGCAAAGGGAACTAAGGAAGTAAACAAATGGGAATACATCAAAATGAAAAGCTTCTGCACAGCAAAAGAAACCATCAGATTGAAAAGGGAACCCACTGAATAGGAGAACATATTTGCCAATGATACATCTAATAAGGGATTAATATCCAAAATACTATGTAAAGCACTCATACAACTCAACAACAACAAAATAGACAATCCAATTAAAAAAATGGAGAGATCTGAATAGACATTTCTCCAAAGAGGACATACAGATTGCCAAGAGACACATGAAAAAATGCTCAAAGTCACTAATTATCAAAGAAATGCAAATTAAAACCACAATGAGATATCACCTCACATCTATCAGAATGGCTATCAAAACATCAACAAGTACTGGAGAGGATGAGGAAAAAAGGGAACACTAGCTTGCTGCTGGTGGGAATGCAGACTATGCAGCCACTCTGGAAAACAGTGTGGAGTTTGCTCAAAAAGTTAAAAATGGAACTCCCAATTGACCCAGTGATCCCACTTCTGAGAATATATCCTAAAACCCCCAAAACATCAAACAAAGAATATATGCACCCCTATGTTCATAGCAGTGTGCCCTGGTAAACAGCCCAAGGGCCCATCAGTAGATGAATGGATAAAACTGCTGTGGGACATTTACACTATGGAATACTAAGCAGCTGTTAAAAAGAGGGATCTCTTACCTTTTGGGACAGCATGGATGGGCCTGGAAAATACTATGCTAAGTGAAATAAGCCAAACTGAGAAAGAAAATATCACATGATCTCACTAGTATTTGTGGAATCTAATGAGCAAAATGAATTGACCAACAAAATAAGACCCAAAGCAGGGAGGCATGGGTCAGACTAAAATACCTTGCTGTGGGGTTGTGGGGATGAGAAGAGATAAACCAAAGAACTTATATGTACTTATATGCATAGCCTATGGTCAAGATTAATAGAGTAGTGAAGACCTGGAGGTGGATGGGTAGGGACTGGGAAGAAAAGGGGAAAATGGGAGATATCTGTAATACTATCAACAATAAAAAATAAATTTAAATAATGGTTGAACTACATTTGTTCAAACAAGCAAAAATTTACAAATATGTGCAATAAATGGATAATTCAGAAGGCCTGAGTTGCCCAAAACCTTCACTTTCCAAAGGTCTCAGAATGGTCTCTTACCTTCCTCCTCTAAACCCTCGGGGCATCCTGCCCTGCCTGATAAAAGTGTCTCTGAGACTGTGGGCCATGCCATATAGTATGCTAACAGTGTGATTTATACGGAATGCCTGGGCTTTGGGTCATACTCTATCAGTTTGACCTCTTGGGATGGGGAGGAGGAGGAGCTGAAGACCAAGTAGCTAAGGCCAATCTCACACATACACTGTATGCCTGTGTGACTGACCTCTCCTCCGCCCCCTATAAAAGCCCTGGGCACCAAGGCATTGGTGAGTTTCCCTGGTCGGGGACACTTTGTACACGTCACACATCATCGCCAAGAGAATTAAGCTCTGTTCGTGTGACTCCACTGGAAGGACAGCCGGAAGCGTGGAACTGGTCCAGTGCAGCTGGACTCCACCTGATGCACCTTTTTCCTTTGCCTATTTTAATCTGTATTCTTTTGCTGGAACAAACCATAACTGTGAGTATAACAGCTTTTCTGGGCCCTGTGAGTCCTTCTGGCAAATCATTAATCCTGAGAGTGGCCTTACTGACCCCAAACACAAGCTATAATAACACTAATATTTGTCATGTATGCACCTGGCATTATGGTATATTCTTTACATGTATTAACTCATTTTCATGCCCCTAAGAAGTGGTACTATTGTCTCCATTTTGGGGAAAAAACTAACAACAACAGATCAAGTAGCAAAGGAAAAGCAACAAAAAT